AAATTATTTTTTCTAGAAAATAAAAGAAAATTTAAAATCACAAGAAGATACTAAGAAACTAGTTTTTGTAAGATAATTGGCTTTCTATGTACAAAAAATAACTTGTTGACTTTAATATTACAATAAATTAAAATTGAATGACTATTTATAAAATGAATCTAATAATCTGATTATATAATATAGTAATTTTAAAAAAAAAGTTGATATGGAAGATGAGTCATCAGGTCAAATAAGAGGGACATAGATTTTATGTACCTTAATATCAACTAGTACTATTATAAACGATCTTGCAGATGAACACGTGTTATTTCAATTTTCGTAAAAATAAAATAAAATGCGTTTCACATAATTGAATTTTTTTTTTCCTCCTAGCGTCCTTTCCCATTAAACAAACAATGTTTATTAGATAGAGACTATTTATCTAATGATATAAATTCGTTTTGAAAATAGAAAATTAATTAAAGAGTTATTTAAATATAAAAGATTTGATATGAAGTTATTCTGAATTTTGGGAAGGAAATATTTGCTAGATTTTTTTTGTTTCAAATTATTTATTGTACTTTTTTTTTTTATGTTCTTTAAATAAAAATACTAATGAGAAGGTTTTCTTTTATTATTTTACCTTATTTATATTTTAAGATATAAAAAAATTATTACATATTTAGTGAAAAACGAATTCAGGAGTTTAAGTCTATTGATTTAATATTTATAAAGTTCAAAAAAAGACGAGTTAAAGTATGGTGAGATTTAGTATATCAGATTATTGCACGACGTTTTAAGTCATCTCAATCTTTTTCAACTTTTAGACTCATCATGGTGTTTTCAATGAATTCGACTTTCACTTAGAAAATAAAGTAAATTTATAATTAAGCTAGCAACTCGTAAATAAAGTTTTTAGGCTAATTTCTTGTATATATTTTCTAATAGTTGTATGTATTCTAACGTGATATTATAATCAGTGGAAACGCCGTTAACTTTAGTCTTAATCTTCCTCTTTTTTTTTGCTCATAATTATTCTTACAAAATAATCTATTAGCAACTTGGAATGATTGTGTTTTTAGTTTCTTTTTTTCTACACATAATTTGTTAGTCAAACACTAGAGTTCACATTGAATATCATATGACTTGCTGTTGATAAATTAAATTATGTTCTGAAAATGACATTTTATTTTCATACTTTTTTTAATTTTATTTTCTTGAAGTTGATTGGCTGAAGATGTTGATCTACACAAAATTCTATGTCAAGTTATATTTTTGTGTTTACATTAGATTATTTGTTGCATGCATTACATAATTTGTCACAAGAAATTTGTTTACAAATATATCTTAAAATTTTGAATTTATTATTATTAAAGGAGAAGATATTAGGGTAAGCGCACAAATAGTTGATTTTGAGATTACCATTTAAGTCATATTATTATTCTTAGTATATTAAATTTACAAATTATTTAAATAGTATATATCTAAAGTTTAGTTGAATAAATATTTGTTAAAATGATGATTAATTTGTTAATCTTTATTTCAATAATCTTACACATGACAATTTAACTCTTATAGTTGTTTCTAATTATATAATAAGGTCTAAATTTGTAACATCGTACAAATCCTTTTTAAAAAGAAACAACTTATTTAATTGTCTGATATTTGCTAAAATTGATATAAATCAAGGACAGCCATCCTTCTCATTCTCCAAAGAAAGTAAAGCACAATATAGTCAAATAGGGACAATTTATTTTTATTTTTTTAAAAAAAGAGCAAATATAAAATAATATTAGTGTCCAAAAAGGGAACGTTATCAATTTTTTCACAATTACATTTACGTGCTATACATTTACATTTACTTTAACAACATTATATTTCAAGGTCCTACAATTGTACATTAAATTAATCTGTTGTCTTAATATTTCAACAAAAAGAAAAATTGAAATCTTACTTTCTGAAAATCTAATCTTAGTTCCATTTTTAGCTTATGTTCTCATCTGATTATTCTTAAAATTATAATCGATTAACCTACTTTTTGTGTATATTAAATACGAGTGAATCAAATATTAGAGTCTCCCGTTTTTCACTCCTAATTACAAGGCTCATGAAACGTGTATTGTGTGAATATAGGAGTAGTATGATATTGGTACAATGCTTGTGGTTATGAATTGTTCACAAAATAGTGAAGCAACACATGTTATGTATATTATATATACATACAAATGTCAAATTGCCTTGTAAGTTAAGGCCTAACTTAAGGGGCCTATATACACGTGATACATTGGCCGCATCGACCCGCATGGATGTATTCAAAACGTGGAAACTATTTGACATAGATATAATTTGTGAAGATATTTGAAATATGAATACGTCTCTGACCCGATAACAAATCAATAAGATATTATTTATTGGTTTTTGGTTTATTGGTTTTTTATAGTTATTGGTTCGGTTTTCGGTTTTATCCAAAAAGAGAAATTCGTAAAATATAATATGACTTCTTATTTAGCTAAATATAGTACGAAGGTTATAATTACATGTCATTGCCAAAACATAGTACAGACCTTTACAACCTTGCAAATGCTACAAGCTACAATTACAAACTAAAACTAAGATCAACTAGTTTAACAAGACTAAAACTAAAACTAAATCAAAAGCTACAATTGCGAAACCTTACATTAGTTTTTAGGTTTTTAGTAAACCATAAAAACTAATAAAGCGGCCTAGTGTGAAGTAGATAGAGTATTAATAATTTGATATAGTTATAGTGTCTAGTTATATATTAAATTATTAGGGAGGATAAAATAGTAAATTAGTTCTATCTTGTTGGTTATCGGTTTACCCAATAACTCAATAGTGAAACCCGATACCGAATTAATAACCCAATAACTTTTTTGGGCAACTTTCACATATAGCAAACAAAAAATTCATATTTGTATGCTATAACAAAGTTTGCATAATTGCGCTCCATAGCAAACATAAAATTGTATAATTCGCTATACATATACAATTGTATAATTCGCTGGCCTAAACTGTATAATTCGCTGGCCTATTTCGCTGCAATTGTATAATTCGCTATCCTATTTCACTGCGATTGTATAATGCACAATTGTATAATTCGCTGCAATATTTTTATAAAATTTGCTTTGCATACAGTTGAATCGAATTAAAATGTATGTACATTGCATAATTATAAGTGTATAGCAAGAAGATATATGTTTTTCTCTCGCTTTATACAAAAACAGAAACACAATATATACACTTCTGTTGTATAAAGCTAGAGAAAATTGTATTTCACTGCAATTGTATAATTCGTTGGCCTTTTTCTCTGCAATATTTGAAGTAAAATGTTTGTAAATTGTATAATTAAGTGTATAACACGAAGATATATATTTTTGCATGTGTATATACAATTTTCTCTCGCTTTATACAAAACAGAAACAGAATTTATACACTTCTGTATAAAGCGAGAATGGAGAGTGGCGAGCGAGATTTTTCGGAGAGAGACGCATGACAAACTTTAGCTAACATTTGTTATGGAGCACAATTAAATTAAACTCTAGCTACTCCATTTATTTTAGGTTATTAGTTTGCTATTATATATAATTTTCCCAACTTTTTTTATAAATCCATTAAAAACCCAATTACACAATAACAACAATCCAATAATATTTTTTTCAATTCAATTTATCGATCGATTCGATTTTTACGCTTTGAATTTTTAATAATATTAGAACTATCCTTTGGACATACCACATAATAAGTCCGTAATGAATTAATATGTGGCAGTTGTGGGTGAAATGGGCTATCATTTGGTTATGTTGTAAAGTTTTTATATGCATTGTTTTTATTTTAGGTTGGTCTTTAGGTTTTTGTCTTTGTTGCTTATTTAATAATGATTCAATATATAATATAATTCCAATTTGGTTTTAATTAATAATAATGATTTTTAATCTTAGATGTGCACGGATACATACTCAAATTTAAAAAATTTTAATAAATAAAAACACATCTTACCTAGTGTAGGATATCAATATTCAATAAATTTCAGCACACAATATAATGGCAAAAAGTTTGAGTTTGACACCACGTTTGTATTTTCTCTTTTGTAAAAGGTTTACACTAATGACCGGTAATGATCAAGACTTATTAATCGTCGATAGATAAAAAGAAATTGTTAGATATTTTGAATCTGATTTTTTTTAAAAAAAATTAGCAACATTGCGTCCAAAAATATCACCTTGCTATAAATTGATTTACATTTAATCATTAATACGTTCATATAATAAGTGTATCGTATTTTATTAAAAATTAAATATGTCGGTTTCCATATAGTCCAAGCCTACCTCATTTGCCGTCTTTAAGGTTTCGATATCACCGCCAAAATCATCAAAGATTGACTAAAATTACCAAATTAGGAAAATTAATAAATAATGCATTAATTCTTTTTTAATTATCACGTATGTTAACTAAAAATACCAAACTATTTTTTACTTATTCTTTTTTTAAAATTAAAAATACATTCAATATTACTCTTTATCGCTAAATAATAACATAAGTAGTAATAATATAAATTTTCAAATTTGATAAAACAACCCCATTTAAAAAAAATATATCAAATCAACAAGGTTAGAGTAAATATTTGCCAAACAAAGTTGCAGTAAATAAAAACATAATAATTAGAAAGTCAACACAATGTTCACATCTTTCAAAAATAATTCATCTCACTTTCGATTATTATTTTTATATATAGAGAAAAATTGTCCAGAAATTTAAAAAATCGTATAATATTTTTTTTATTTTAAATACTTTTCTTTTTATTTTTTAATTAAAATTTTTAAAATTAAAAAAAACAAAAATATATTAAAAAATAAAATATATAATATGAAATATGTTATTTTATCACGATGCCAAAAGGATTTTTACTTTATAACCACCTCCTCCATATTTATTCTCAATTTCAATAAATGCACTTTACATGATCATTAATCATTATAGTTGAGAAAATATCCTCCAAATGTAGAAACATAATTGTTGATATAAAGTTCCCTTTTTCCTACTGTGGTGGTGTTCATACTATCATTACAAAATATTATGTTATTTTTTACTAACTATCAATATTCAATAATTCCATAAGTTGGAATTACCTAGTTTCCAATTAGAATTTTTAAGAAAATACTGTGTGGTGAACTCTGCTTTGGCAAATTTCTTTCTTAACATAATTAAACAGCCATGACTATTGATGATTCAAGCATAATTTCAACTCCAACCAGGCTAGAGGTAATTTTTTTTAACTGTTAATCTTTGTTATACATTCGGTAGAACTTAATAGTTTTAGCCTAAATTTTATATCTATTATATTTAAATTTTATATTTATTATATTTAAATTTATTTTTTAAAAAAGAAATTGGACTAGGGGAATCATAATTACCAATTGACTTACTGAAATCTCTGCCGCTTAAAATTTCAGAAACTTAGAATTTATAAATTTAAAATTTTAGCTCCGTTTCTGCTACCGTTAATATTTGTCAATTGACAGAGAAGTGTATCTGAATTTTTCAGGGAAAATATAGTGGAATGGTGGTATGTTGGATTCTTGGACTTGGGTCACTTGTTTCTTGGAATAGTATGCTAACAATTGGTGATTATTATTATCAACTTTTTCCTGTGAGTGTGTCTTTAATTTAATTATCCTCTTTTCTTTTTTTTTTAAAGAACATAGAAAAATGATGACTTTGATATGTTTGACAAAAGAGTTTATGTTACTCCGTCAATTAACTTTTAGTTGGAATGTTCGCTTTGTTGCTCGGACTCAATAAGAAAATTGTGAAGCGTATGTTGGATCTTTGATACAACTAGGTGGAAAGGCACAAGATCTGACTCATGGCTTATGTATAGATATTGATTCTTTCACGTATTTTGGAAGATTCAATGCGGTTTTGGTAGCATTATGGAGATTCCGAGCAACATTGAATATTAGAGCCCTTTTTGCGTGATAATTGTCAAAAACATATCTGAACTATTGTTTTTCTTGAGTTTCACATATCAACTATCAAATGCTTCCTTTTTTTCTATCTGAACGATGGTGATAGTTGTAGGAAAAGAGAACATTTGATAGTTGAGGTGTGTTTTAATGCATAGATGTCGATAGTTCAGGTAGGAAAAGGAAACAACTGATAGTTAGAGTATGAAACTCATGAACAAGTGATAATTCAAGTATATTTTTGATCATTAGCTCAATGCTTTATGATTGTTATATTTATTCACATTATAATTTGTAGTTAAGTTGAATTCATTGATAACTAATTAGTATATCTGCTTATAACTGGTTTGAATTTGTCATGTACAATGAAGAAATACCATCCTTCAAGGGTGCTTACTCTCGTTTATCAGCCGTTTGCACTCGCGACAATGGTTATTCTTGTATATAATGAGGCAAGAATCAATACAAGAAAGCGTAACCTAACTGGATTCACTCTTTTCTTCTTAAGCACATTCGCGCTCTTAGTGGTATGTTCTGATAAACTGCGCTGTCATTCCATTTGCTTTCTTTAATCATGTTTTGGTTTATCGCGACTTGAGTTTTCCTTCATGTCTTGCTAGTTGGATTTGGCCACGTCAGGAGCTGGCGGTCTTGGAAATTACATTGGTATATGTGCTATAGTCGCGGCTTTTGGAGTTGCTGATGCTTTTGTTGAAGGTGGAATGGTTGGAGATTTATCCTTCATGTGCCCTGAATTCATCCAAGTAAGATTGTCTCCATCTAATAACTCTTGTTCTTTAATTATCGCACTATTTTGTTGTAGTTTTGTTTCATTAGTAGTTGCTTTGATGTGTTTTTCCTTTAGCCGAGGGTGTATCAGAAACAACTCTCTACTTCCTAATGTAGGGGTAAGGTCTGCATGCGCTCTAACCTCCCGAGACTCTGCTTATGGGATTACACTGGATATTTTGTTGTTTGAATCACAATTGCAAAATGTTTTATTGCTGCTGTTATGATTTTTCAGTCATACTTAGCCGGTCTGGCTGCGTCTGGTGCTCTCACCTCGGCTTTAAGGCTTGTGACTAAAGCAGCTTTTGAAAGGGCTAGTAACGGTCTTCGCAAAGGAGTTAGTACGTGATCTATAATGCCATTGTTAGTTATCAAAACGAGACAAAAAAAGAGAACGCGCTTAAAATGTAGTAGTCGTCATTTCCTTAGTTAGAATCTTGTGTTTGTTAATTTTGCAGTGTTGTTTCTGGCTATCTCCACATTCTTTGAATTTCTATGCATTCTTCTATACGCGTTCGTCTTTCCTAAGCTACCAATCGTTAAGTACTACCGCACAAAGGCAGCAGCAGAGGGATCAAAAACTGTTGCAGCAGACTTAGCTGCCGCAGGCATCCAAACTGAAGCAACCGAAAGAGTAAGCAACTTATCGTTAACTAAAAAATTTGTTTATGGCTTCTTGATCTTAATTAACATTTTGTCGACTGAACAGGTTGATGCTAACGCTAAACAATTGGAGCGTCTGAGCAACAAACAGCTGTTCTTTCAGAACATCGATTACTTATTGGATTTGTTCTTGATTTATGTCCTGACTCTGTCGATTTTCCCAGGATTCTTGTACGAGAATACTGGTTCACACAAATTAGGCTCATGGTAAGCTTGCTTTCCTCTTCTCTGCTCGCGTATTTTGTCATGTCCTGCATTCAATTCTTGTATATATACGAGGTTTTAATTTGTTTGTTTCAGGTATGCTTTAGTCTTGATAGCAGTTTACAACATGTTTGATTTGATAGCAAGATACATTCCATTGATAGAGAAAATCAAGTTGAAATCACGGAATGGCCTAATGATCGCAACACTATCTCGTTTCTTGTTCATTCCTTGTTTCTACTTCACTGCAAAATACGGTGATCAAGGCTGGATGATAATGCTCGTGTCCGTCCTTGGACTCACTAACGGTTATCTCACCGTGTGTGTCCTCACAGTTGCTCCTCAGGGATACAAGGTTAGTGAAATAATACTTCCATATAAATCGAAAAAAAACGGAAACATTTGAACTTGTTGTATTCTGTTTCAACAGGGTCCTGAGCAAAATGCATTGGGCAACTTGCTAGTCTTATGCCTACTTGCTGGACTATTCTCTGGTGTTGCACTGGATTGGTTGTGGATTATTGGTAATGACAAATTCTAACAAAGAAATTGATATATACATAGGTATCGTTAACGACGTTATACAAAATGTTAAAATCTCTTTTTCGACTCTCCACGAGTCTGCAGTATAATAGGTGTGAGTTCAATTTTCACAGTATCATCTTTGGCTTCTCCTTCTGTATTTCCTATGTAAGTGTTTTTTTTAGGAGAAAAGAATATCTGGTCCCATCTCTAAAGGTTTTTTTTTTTATAAGGAGAAAAGAATATCTAGGGTCATTTTGTTTTTATATATATTTTTAATTTTTCTTTTTAGGGTCATCTCGATTTGATTATTTAAACTAGAAATTTTCTCGGTTTGGGACATTAAAAATTGGGGTAGGGAAGAGGAAATAAGGAAGGAGTTCGGAGTCAAAAAAATTGAACAAAATTTACAAAAGAAAAAAGAAAATAAGATTCAATAGGACAATATAAAAGGCGAAATCGCATCCGACTTGTAAGACTCTTACGTTACAAGTCGGATGCGATTTCACCTTTAATTGATAGTCTTTAGCTGGCAAAAGCTTCCAAGGAAAGAATAATCTCAAATTATTAAACATAATTAAATGACATAATTTCAATTTGAAAGGGAAAAAAAAAGACATCCCTTGTTTTACATGCAATTTTCCCTGTTTTCTTATAATTTTGTTCGAGTACATAATTAATAAATTTTTCATGTTTTCTTATAAAATTGACTAAATTAAGCAAATTAAAATATATCGAGTTAATAAAACATATAAGTCTATCATCAACCCGCACAAATTTAGATATTTGCACGATTTTATGAGTTGATTATCAATAAATTTTGTATTTAGCTTTTCATATGGTATATGCATTCGTTATTTGAAACTGTTTAAATACAAGATACCCAAAGAAAAAGAAATGGATTATTTAAGGTAAGTCAAGTATGTCATAATTGATTAATTTCCACATGTTGGAAAAATAAGAAAAGGTATACTATAACCTAGCTTTTTGAAAATATGACTTTTTTAATTTCTCTATTCAATTTCTTCTTTGCTTGAAAATGTATTTTGTTTTCCTCAAGTGGTGTTAAAAGCAAATAAAGAAAGAGTCATAACAAAAAGAAACAAAGCTGAAAATAGTAAGAAGCCCAATTGATTTTTCTTTGGGCGGTTCGAAGAAGAAATTCAATTTAATCTTTTACTATGTGAATTAACATTTTTTCCTGTCCTTGGGAAGTCCATGGACTCTTTTATCATCGACGTGGGATCTTTTATTCATCAATCACCCTCATGTTTAAATTTTTTGTTGTGCGAAATTTGAGATAATACGAGAAAATATAAACGCGAAAAACAAGACAACAGATTTACGTGGTTCACCAATAAATTGGCTACGTCCACGGGAAGAGAGGGAGCAGTTTTATTATGGAGAGGCAAAAACAGAATTACAAAATAGGGTTTGCCATAGCGTCTATATATAGTGCTAAGCTACGCCCTAACAGGCTCGGGCCCAACATACAGAATTGACAGAAAATTAAGGGCCCAATACAACAACATTGTATACCGTCGGGCCGGGGGCGTCTCCGCCCCCCCGGACCCCCCGACTCGCTGACCGGACAGCGAGACCCCCGTCCTTTCTGTTTGTAGCGGGTCCGATTCAAGGCATTCAACATTTTTCTTTTTGGATATTAGAGCGTTCATATTTATAGACTGAGTTATTTTTTCACATCTCATTCGATTTGAGAGTTCATATCGAATAGGACCTGACTCTGATACTACATTGAAAAAAATTTAGAAAAAAATAGATCAAAAGAGGACGTTTGCCCAAGCAATAGAAAGTCCATGACTTTTTCAAAACCAATGTGGGATCTTTCGTTCATTACAACTCCCCCTCCCCTCCCTCGGGGTGCCACGTCTGAGCCTTGTCCCCAGACTAGAGGATGAGCATTTTATGGATTGGGATATTTTAAACCCTCTTAAATTGTTTCAGAGATTATCGATGAATTTGACTTAAATACTATTTTAAAAAATAATTTTTAAACTTAACTCATACCATGAAAATTAGTTCAAAGGAAGGTAATTTGCGGCAAGCCATATAAGGATGCTAACGAAATTTTTCACCATCAATGTGGGATCTTTCATTCAATACTCCTTGTATTTATGTATCCTTTTTTGGGCTAGAGCATGAAATTCATGGATGGAGGAATTTTGCATCCCCCACAAAATCGATCTGGGGATCCACATCGAATGAATCTGCTTTGATACTATGTTAAAATTGATTTTGAATCTAATTTATACACCTAAAATTGGATTAAGAGAAAGAATAATCCCAAACATGCGCAGAGCAACTTTAAGCGAAGGATGGTCAAGTGCACGTCCATCATGGGAAAGTGTATAAAGGTTAAACATAATAAATTTCTGGCTCCACCACTAATGTAGAACCAGGGTCGGCTCTTCCCTGTGTAAAATAAGGCTTATCCCTTAGGCCTCCAAATTTTTATCGAAAAATATTATGTGTTAAAATTTTTATAGAAAAAATTAATTATTTTCGATAAAAAGTATATTTTTAAAATATATATTATTTTACTCGGTTTGACGTATGTGGTCCTTCATTAAAAATAAGAATTAATGATGAAAAGTGTTGAACAAAGAGAATTACAAATTCTGTTTTATTTCGTTTTAAGCATTACAACAAACATATAAAAATGGGATAAATCAAGTCATCATCTTCTTGAATTTCATTTTGTGGTTTTAAGTCTTATCTTTATTTAATATTTGTCAACTCTACTTATAAGATTATGTTAACAATTCATATAATAATTATCTCGCTAAAAGAATGTTTTTTAATATTGAATTGATAAAATCTTAATCAATAACTGAAAAAACAACATTAACTACTAATAATTTTCATCTAAATAGTGTAAGGAAAATAAATTTTAAATAAATACATATAAACAATTTATTCCTATATTTATATTTTAGACCTCAAATTAAAATTTTACTTTAAATCTCTAATTACGTAAAGCCGTCCTAGTGGAACATTTATTAAAAATCAAACAAAAAGTGCAATTATATGAAGAACAAAAAAAAAAGTCAAAGAAGGGCATCATCTAAAGAAAGAGAAAACAAGAATTTGGAATTAATTTCCTTGAAAAAAGTCTCATGTGAACATGCATGTATTTGTTCATACTGTCCACTAAAATCAAATTTTGAATAAATAATAACAAAACAAAAAAAACAGACAATATTGTGTGAGAGTAATATAAAGGATAATTAGGAAGAAATTAAAAAATAATAAGATGAAAATACAGACAAAAAACAGAAAATGACTTTTGCATTAAGTGGTTTATTCAATAAAAATTGAGAAAAGTCTATGGTCGGTGCTTTGTCAAACTACTACTTCCATCAATTTTGTATTATGATAGAATGATAGTTTAAATATTGTGTATGAAGTTTAAGTAAAAAATTTAAATTATATATATCTTTTTTGTGATAAATTAAAAAATAAATAAATGTCAACAAGTAAGAGAAATGAATTCAAATTTTAAAAGAGTAATGCTTGAATCATAAGTATTTTTTATTTCAAAATATAAAGTTACGAATTTGAATCACCAACAGAAAAAATAATAATACAGCTCTAACATAGGTGAAAAGAAAAGAAAAATTATTTATATTTTTCTCTTGTTGGAGTACGTATAGGTGACGTAAAGCTGACTTTACATGGGATTGTGGCTATACTTAATAAAAAAAATTTATTTAAATACATATTTTATTTTGTCATATTTAAAAGAATCTATCATTTAATAAAATATAAAGATTTTTGTTCTCTCCTGTTCTTAGAATCGATACATGAAATATGAAAATGTTAAGATTTTGAGACGAAAGAACTCCTTTGCTATCAAAATATCCAATATTTCGAAAAAATTTCATTGATTACCCATAGTCAGTGATGTTTTCGAAATCGAAACGTAATGTGTCGTGAATATTTTGAGAATGCAGTTCACCATTAAGTTCAAGAAACACGTAGATATAAATCCGAGTACTTACGACCGACTAGACAATTAATATTAATAATAAGCACCTAATTATAACTCTTCAATTACAAAAGACAAAACAATTACTATATTGTCCATATATCAACTGCCTCTTGATAATATAGACTTCACTAATTACTACTCGACTAACTCTAACCTCCAACATAACTCACAATTACCAAAGATGAAATGATCTACACTCCCTTATACTATAGGAGTATATCTATAATATGAGAGCATAAGACACTCCCTTTTTTGAAAATGGCTTTTTGCTTTAATATTTTTTATTGCCAAAATTAAGTTTCATTTTGTCAACATGTTCTTTTTAAAAGAGAGAAGAACTCTAGCTAGGAACAACATCTATCGAGAACTTTAGTTTTTTCTACGCTTCTGCTATAGCGTCTATCAATCACGACAGTTATATTGACGTGTGCGATTCTCTGCAGATCAAGCCCCTTTGATCCATAGTTTGTTCATTCATCAAAATCAAGAGTACAATAACATATAACTTTAAAATTAAAAATAAAAATGTTTACTTTCCGAACAACCTTCCAATACCTTATTAATTGTTTGATAAGGACTAAAAGGATAAAAGCCATGGTCAATGTAGCCAATTATTTGTAGACTTTCTTTTAATTGGTTACCTTTTGGGACCTTTAACACTATACCTTTGGCACTTCACCACATGTACCTCTCATCTTTTGGTCAAACTTCTACTTAATACAATTCAATTATGAATTTTTCTTTTAATACGTGAAAAAGACAACTAAGGAACACGTGTCATATTTCTAATCTCCAGAGTCTTAATTATTAAAATAATTAGATAAAATTTAAATTTTATGATTTCAAATTTTTATGTATTTTTTCAATTATTTGTTGCGATTTTAATAAATTTTCTACGCATAAATGTATTCACATGTTGTTTGTCATGATTAATGAAAAACGAAACCATCGATCGTTGCCTCTTTGTAATATAATCCATTTATTGCTTATATTTCTATTTTTAGAAGATTATCTTAAAGTTGGGATATAAAATATGAAGAATCACTTTGAAGATATATACAATAACATGACCTATTGATTAATTATTGAGTTGTTTAAATAATAATGCATAATAAGGAAAGTCTTTGATATGATTGTGACTTTGGTTTCATGATTTTCTATCCATAGAGATAATTATTATACTATAGAAATTTTATTTCTATAATATTATCAACATACAAATTATATATTATAGCACCTTTTTTTTTGCATAGTATTTTAAAGAAATAAATAAAAAGAGAAAAACAAAATTGATGGTTATGGAAAGTCTTGGATACATTAGGTGAGATAAGCATCATCCATGTATATCAATGCACTTATCTATTTTATTATATTTTATTTTGAATAATTTATTTTATTTGTCCTTTATTTTATCTTGTTTCATGTGTTACTATCTAACACTAATAATTGGACATCATTTTTTAAATATAGAAAGGACAAGCTATAATTGATCATATTATAATCAAAGAATGCTTTTTTTTTGTTCTTCCAAATTTTTGAGTGATATTTCTTTACAATAGTAAATTACATAAATTCATTAACATCTAAAATATTTGGAATATCAAAGTTTAACATGCTACAATAACTTTCCCTCTCTTCTTCCGAAATCGTACTAGAGTTCGAATTTAATGAAGTTGGAGTTGACGATGGAGTAGATAAAGTTGGCAAAATAGAATTGAAGGTAAAATTTTGTGAGTTGAAGTTTAAAATATTCGATGATGATTGCTCCTCCACATTAGGTTGTTGCATGGCTAGAGTGTCACTATAAAATGGAACAGATGGAGTATTAAAATTGGAACAAGTTGAAATATTGTTAATAGGGTTTTGAATTAGGCTAGTTTGGCCAAATGGGGTCAACTTGTTTTGGACATATGAATTGCATAGTTGATTTTCTTGAAAATTACTTTGCAATAAGAAATTTTGGTTTTGGTGGTGAGAAGATAAAAGGGAATTGGCTAATCTCAAAATCTCAGGATTAACTAGGGATTGTACACCTAATAACCTTGAAATATTATTGTCCAATTGAGTTGAATTGTAGAGTGAAGGGTTGAAAATTGAGTTTAAATCAAGAAGATCAAGACGAGGGCTATGAGTTATTGGATCAATTCCCATTCTCAAAAGCTTTTTTCGAATATTAGTATTCCAATAATTTTTGATTTCGTTATCAGTCCTTCCTGGCAGACGAGCAGCAATAGCAGACCACCTATATATAGTAAAAAATGATACATAACAAGTTAGAATCAAACTATGGAATATATAAATTAAATTCATTTAAAAAACAAGTTGGATATCTAATTCCTTATAAGTTCAAAGTCATGGAGCAAATAAAGTAAAAAATTTGACAATAAAATATGAATACAAATATGAATTAATAAATAAAAATAGATTTTAGATGAAAAAAAAAAGAACTTACTTGTTTCCAAGAATACTATGCAAGTGGATGATTGTCTCTTCTTCTTCAAAAGAGAATTTTCCTCTTTTAATATCTGGCCTTAGATAATTAATCCAACGTAGCCTGCAACTCTTTCCACACCTTTGAAGCCCTATAAATTAAAAACATATTTATAAATATTACAAATCTTAAAATACGTCATAATATTTATGTGGTTATAAGACTTTTGATACTTTTTAGTCCCGTGACAGTATGTAAAAACTTATCATAAAGGATAAAATTAAAAGTTTAGCTAATTTTTTATTAAAATTAAGATGATCAGTAAAATTAAAAGTTTAGCTAATTTTTTGTTGAAGTTAAGATGATCAGTACGAAAGCGTAAAAAAGAAGGACAAACAAATAAGTTGTGTCTATCTTATTAAGTTACCAAAAAAGTCAGACGACTTTTAATAACTTTTAATTAAATCTTTTTTAAATTTAGAAAGAGATCATAAAAAAAAGCGACTTTTAAAAAGAAAAGAAGTTTACATAAAAAAAAATTACCAGCATTCTTAGGAAGAATCCTCCAATTTCCAGAGCCATATTTTTGTATGTAATCAATAAGCTTTTGATCTTCTTCTGTTGTCCATGGCCCTTTTTTAAGTCCATTTTTATCACAACAAGGTGTTCTTCCCATTGTGATAATTAAGTAAATATAAATTATTATTATTTTGAGTAATAACAATACTCAATAGTTAGACATATATATATGAGAAATTCAAAAGAAGAAAATAGTATTTAGTGTTGTTGAAATAATAATGTGGATTATATTGTGTGCTATATATATAGGGATGGAGAAAAACAATTTTCAAAAATTACGAAGTCAAAGGAAACAGGTACCGTCCTTTTTTTAATGGGATCATTATGGTTACGTGTCCCTTCTCATTTAAGAAATTATATATATATATATATTAAAAAAAATAGATTTGTTTAAGTAATCAAACATTTTTATATCGATTGACACTAGGCTGTTCAGAACCAAATCGAAATTGATAAGCCGAATCGATAAAAAAGTTATTGATTTATAGTATTGAATTATTGATTTAGTTGTTTTGATAACGGTTTTGATTTTTTTGTTATCGGTTATTGATTCTAAACGGTTTAAAGTTTTTTTTTAATGGGTTAACCGATAACCCGATAGTAAATTAATTAATTATATTTATACCATTTTATATATAAAGTCCTCGACTTGGAGTTTAATTTCCTATTTTTATTTTTGGTATTCTCAAACACTTGATTATTCTACAATGGTTTATTTGGTTAGTCACCTTGTTTCTAAGTGATTTTCAATGTTTTTTCTTTTGTGTCAAATCTTAACGAATAAACCGATAACCGAACCGATAATGATAAAAAACCGATAAACCAATAACCGATAAGCCAATATCATAATGATTCTATAACGGTTTAACATCTCTACAAACCGATAACCAATAAGCCAATTCCATAAACTTTAAAATCGAACTGAACTGGCCGATACACAATTCTAATTGACACGATGAAGAATAAATGAGAATATTACAAATTTTTTCTGAAGGTGGTGTAGAGAAAAATTGTATATGATAAAGTTTATTAAGTTTAACACCAAATTTAAGAAAGAAAAGCTTTTTCAAATGTGTGAAACTATTGACATAATTAACATGTTAAGCATTTATAATTTCTACTTTTATTGAGTAGGGGTGCAACCCCTATTGGATTTGGGTGAGTGGGGAAGGATTTAAAAATGATAAATTCAATTAATGTTTGTGTCTTCTATGGTAAAGTCAACACGATAATTAAGAAATATATAGAAATAAACCAAAAAACTAATGTAATAATATATTTATATAATTAGCTCCTATTTATCCCTCATTCATTTTCCACTCTTCTTTTGAATTTCTCCGTCTAATATATATTTAATTATTAATTTTTCATTACTGTCCTTAAAGCTTCCTTGAGATCTACCTTTGCTTGGGCTAAGGTTTCTCAAAATTAATTCATAAAAATATGATTTGATTCATTTTTTCGAATTTAGATAAATTATTGATTCATATATTTATTAATTCAGTCTATTTTAACTCACCCAATTAGTTTACTTAAAAATTTAATTGATATGTAGTTTTGATTCTTTATCCACAAGAAAGTTCAAATATTTTTTTTGAATATATATATAATAATAATAATAATAATAATAATAATAAGTTATTAGATACTTTAGAAGTTAAATAGAATAATTAGGCAATTTAAATTATGACTTAATTTTTAATCCTATCTATTTCAAACTAATTTTGACGGATAATACCTATATATTTTCTTCATCTCAAAATATCAATTTTAGCTCATTTTATGTCAATTTAAAACAGATATAAGATACAGTGTATTAGTACTCTATTTATTAAATATCTTTTGAGAATTAAGTACTATTATAAAGAAATATTTTTTTATATAAGAGTGTAGTAATTATTATTTTAAAATTTAAATTACTTGAACGACACTTATTTCGAAAGCAAAGGAAGTTCAGAATATGAGAAATAGATTTGCTAGAATGGGTAGTTTATATATTCATGTCAGATAAGGCCTAAATAATTACAAAATTATGACCTAAAGTCTCATCATTTTTTCCACCTTTATCTGTTTGAAAGATCATATTGTATTTTAGGTCAAACATTATTTTATGTAGATTCGAGAAAATATTTCCCATGCATGCTGTTCTTTTCCACTCAACCCTCCCTCCCCTCCCTATATTATTAATGAATTTATATATATATAAATATATATATATATATATATATTACGGTTTATCTATTGTGGGACTCGTTTAAACTTGAAAATGAGTCGGTTTGTCCGTCGTGATCAGCTGACTCCATTGTTAAGGTCTTGAAGTACGTTCATGAAAAATTAAGACAAAAAATTTTAAAATTCCGGATCACAAAAAATTTATGGACTATAGCACACGAAATCGATAAAAATGGGGTTTACCTGTAGTGGGGCTCGTTTGAACTTGAAAATGGACCGATTTACCCGTCGGGACAAATTGGCTCCATTGCTAAAGTCTTAACAAACATCCATGAAAAATTTTGACATAAAAAGTATGAAATGCGAGATCACCAAAAATTCATGAACTATAGCACATAAAAATTGACAAAATTGGGGTTTTTACTTGTTTGAACTTGAAAATCGATCGGTTTGTCCGTCGGGATCAACTGGCTCCATTGCTAAGGTCTTAATGGACGTGCATGAAAAATTTTAGCCAAAAAAAATCCAAAATTCCGTATCACCAAAAATTCATGGACAATCGAAAAAATGGGGGTTTACCTGTTGTGGAGTTCATTTGAACTTAAAAATGGGCGGATTTGCCCTTCTAGACTAGTTGACTCTATTGCTAAGGTCTTAATGGACGTCCATGAAAATTTTTGGCAAAATGAAATTTGAAATTTCGGATCACCAAAAATTCATGGACTATAGCACAAGAAAATCGACAAAAATGGGGATTTACCTGCTGTGGGGCTCGTTTGAACTTTAAAATTGGCTGATTTGCCCGTCGGGACCAACTGATTCCATTGCTAAGGTCTTAATGGACGTCCATGAAAAATTTCAGCAGAAAAAAATCCAGAATTCCGGATCACCAAAAATTCATGGACTATAGCACACGAAAATCGATAAAATGAGGGTTTACATATTGTAGGACTCGTTTGAACTTGAAAATGGGTTGACTGTCGGGGCAAAATGTTCCATTTCCAAGGTCTTACTGACGTTCATGAAAAATTTCGGCTAAAAAAATATGATATTCCGGATTACAAAAAATTCATGGACTATAGCACACGAAAATTGACAAAAATGGGGATTTATCTGCCGTGGGGCACGTTTGAACTTGAAAATGGATCGGTTTTCCCGTCGGGACCAACTAGCACAATTGCTAAGGTCTTAAATGACGTCCATGGAAAATTTTGTCAATAAAAATTTGAAATTCTGGATCACCAAAAATTCATGGACTATAGCACACGAAAATCGACAAAAATGGGGTTTACCCGCTATGGAACTCGTTTGAACTTGAAAATAGACTGATTTCCTCGTTGGGACCAACTAGTTTCATTTCTAAGGTCTTAGCGGACGTCCATAAAAGATTTTGGCAAACAAAAACCGAAAATCCAGATCACCAAAAATTCATTGATTATAGCACACGAAAATCGATAAATGTGGGGGCTTACCTGCTGTGGGATTTGTTTGAACTTGAAAATGGATTGATTTGACCGTCGGGACCAACTATCTTCATTTCTAAGGTCTTAACGGACGTCTATGAAAAATTTTGGTAAAAATAAATCCGAATTTTTGGATGACCAAAAATTCATGAATTATAGCACACGAAAACCGATAAAAATGAGGGTTTACCTATTGTGGGGCTTGTTTGAACTTGAAAATGGATCGATTTGTCCGTTGGGACGAACTGGCTCCATTTCTAAGGTCTTAAAGAACGTCCATGAAAAAATTTGGCGAAAAAAATCCAGAATTTTTTATCACCAAAATTTCATGGACTATAGCACACAAAAATCGATAAAAATGGAGGTTTATCTATTGTGGATCTCGTTTGAACTTGAAAATGAGTCGATTTGTTCATCGCAACCAATTGGCTCCATTGTTAAGGTGTTATCGGACGTCCGTTAAAACTTTTGGTAAAAAAAATTCAGAATTTCAGATCATCAAAAATTCATGGACTATAACATACGAAATCGATAAAAATGGGGGTTTACTTGTTGGAGGCTTGTTTGAACTTGAAAATGGGATGGTTTTCCCATCGAGACCAACTGACTCCATTGCTAGGGTTTTAACGGATGTCCATGAAAAATTTCGGCAAAATTTTTTTAGAATTTCGAATCACCAAAAATTCATTGACTATAACACACTAAAAATCAACAAAAATGGGGGTTTACCTTTTGTGGGGCTCGTTTGAAGTTGTAAATGGGTCGGTTTGCTCGTAAGGACCAACTGGTTCCATTACTAAGGTCTTAATAGACGTCCATGAAAAATTTTGGTAAAATAAATTTGTAATTCTAAATCACCAAAAAAAACATACATGGGCTATAACACATGAAAATCGACACACATGGGGGTTTGTCTACCGTGGGGCTCGTTTGAACTTAAAATGGGTTGATTTGCCCCTCGAGACTTCATCAATAGAGTCTTAACGGACATTCATGAAAAATTTCAACAAAAAGAAATTCAGAATTCTGGATCACCAAATATTCATGGATCATAACATATGAAAGTCGATAAAAATGGGGTTTACCTGTTCTGGGTCTCATTTGAACTTTAAATGGGCCAATTTTTATGTTGAGACCAACTGACTCCGTTGCTAAGGTCTTAACGGACGTCTATGAAAAATTTTGATAAATTTTCTTTTTGAATTTCGGATCACTAAAAATTCATGGACTATAGTACATGAATATTACCAAAAATGGGAGTTTACCTGTTGTGGGGCTCGTTTGAACTTGAAAATGGATTGATTTGCCTGTTGGAACTAACTGGATCCATTGCTAGGTTTTAACAAACGTCCATGAAAAGTTTAGACAAATTTTTTTTTGGAATTTTGGTTCAGCCAAAATTCATGAACTATAGCACACGAAAATCGGCAAAAATGGGGGTTTACCTGCTGTGAGGTTCGTCTCAACTTGAAAATGGGCTGGTTTGCCCGTCGGGACCAACTGACTCTATTTTTAAGGTCTTAACAAACGTCCATGAAAAATTTTGGCAAAAAAACAAAATTCAAAATTGTAGATCACCAAAAAAAATCATGGACTATAGCACATGAAAGTCGATAAAAATGGGGGTTTACCTGCTGTGGGGATAGTTTGAAGTTTAAGATTGGCTGATTTGCCCGTTGGGACAAATTGACTCCATTTTTAAGGTTTTAACGGACGTCTCTGAAAAATTTCAATAAATTATTTTTTAGAAATCATCAATAATTTATGGACTATAGCACACGAAAATCGATTAAAATGGAATTTATTTGCTGTGAGACTCGTTTAAACTTAAAAATGAGTCAATTTGCCCATATATATATATATTCACTTGAGATGAGATTATGGGGTAAGAAATTTACTCGTGAAACTAAAATGCTAAAATAAATTGTCCTATCAAATTCAAGGATTTTTACGTTTTTGTCTCTTTACTCTTTGAATTTTCTGGATTGTTTTTTGTTAAAAAATAATAATGTTGGTGGGAATATGGTCTAAAAATACTAGATGTGGCATGTTTACCATTTTCCTTGTTAAATTCCTGACTTTGATATTGGTTGTAATATACATAATTTATCTTATTTTTAAGTTATCGATTTCACTTTCTATGAACAATTAGGTGGATGCGCAGATCTATAGTATGTAGCAGATGCATTCATGTGGACCTAGCAAGTAACCTTTTTAAGATTATGTAACGTATATGCTTGTTTTAAGAAATTCACTAAATATTTATTAATATTTGATTTTGAATTAGTCAATAACTATTATTGTATATTAATTTGAGTTTGTTATAGAAAAATGAGTTTGAATTTTGTCCCTTAAGCAAATTCATGTTCCCTTAGAAGGATTTTGTCATCACTAATTAGTTTGAAAGAACTCTTTGGACACATGAAATAATTGAATAATAAGTCTACGTGCCTTAATATAGAATTAGTCAACAAATCTATGCTGACAAATTTAACATATAACCTTATGATATATATTATTCACATTGAAAAATAGCACAATATTAGGAAAATGTCTCAATGTTTGGTGTCATGAAAGCAATTTATAAAGTAAAAATATAAAGTTTAGAATGCTGATTATGCTATTAGTTTGATTAAAACTATATATTAAATTTTAACGAATGCATAATATAATCTCATATAGTCAAATGGATAACCACTAAGTCCAGATTGTACCTTAGGTGTATCTTAGATAAAAATTAAAAAATATTGATGATACTTGCAATAATTTTAATCAATGCTTACATCTTCATACTTAAATTGGTAACAACTTGTCCAAATCTTAGTGTTTGCTTGTACATGAGTCCTAAAATTGTTAATTTACGTTAAGTGAGTAGATATTTATTGGGTCAAATATACAATTTTGCTAGAATTCAATAACTTTAATTCAAAGTTCGATCATATATGTGTTGAGAAAATCACTAAAAATATGTAAAAAAAAACTTAAAATCCGAACCAAGTTACTAGTACTTGATATATTGTCATTATCCTAAAATTTAAAATTCGTAAAGCTCAAATTCTGAGTTTACCTCTGTTTAGGTGGTTTTATCCTCAAATAATAGTGTGTGTTGTGCTTATCTTATTGTGAGTTGCTTCATTTCTCCAACAAACCTTCGAATATTTTCTACAGAAATGGGATTTTTTCTTTTAATAGAAATTGATTTTGAAAATAGCTATATTTAGATATGAGATCCAAAGTATTAGTGGATAACAATTTCTTAATACTATTTTAAGATATTTAGTCAAATAGTTGAAGTATTATATATGGGACTGGTGTACCAATAGCATTGACACTAATATTTTAGAGGAATGTCATGGATGGAGGTGGCAAAATTAGTTCATTATATCGTAATATATGTCAATTCATTTAAGTTTAGACTGATTATTAATATGATCATTTATTAGATTAGCCTTTTATAGTTCAGTTTATTAAAATGAAATCTGAATTGATTCCAGAAAAATCTTATTAAAATATTTTATTTTTTTAAAAAAACATTAATATATCATTTATAACTACAATAAAAAAAGAGAAAATAATGTCTTCATTATGTACTAAAAAATTACTGTACATGTTAGTTTGAGTGAATTAATAATTTAATCATTATTCATTATTAATTAATTCAATTTATTTTTATCGAATCAAATTCGACTTAATCGATCAACTCATGTAATACCTCTGTTCATGCATATACATGTATTATAACCATGCAATTCATGCATAGTTTAAAACGATATTCATATCAATTTAATATGTATTGATAATATAAATAATATTTGATAGTAACAAAATAAAATATATAGGTGCATATTGAAGCCTGATTGATTTGAGTTTGCAATATTTAAGACCTCCGAATAAAAACTTTTTTGCATAAAAAAATGATTCATATTTGAAGCTCGGATCTAAAATGTACGATTAATACGAATAGTTACAAATTATTATATTACTCCTAAATTGATGTTGTAAGACTTGTTTATACGTGCAACTCTAGGCATATTTCAAGGCTTTTAAATTTATTTGACCCTTTTTTTTAGCATTATATATAAATGGATTTGAATCTTAAATGGTGTCAAATATTTCGAGAACTTTCCAATATAATATGATTGACTTTTCTAGAATGATCCAGTATTTTCTCGAGATTATGAAAATATAAAATATAACCGACTGATTGATATATATATATATATATATATATATATATCATTCAAGAAGATTTTTAACATTTCTCCAATAATTGATGACATGTCAATATAATAATTTGACAAATAAATTTCAAGAACATTGCCATAGAAAATATGCAATTAGAGATGAAGTTTTTAAATTTTAGAATTATGAGTTTTAAATTTAATTGCTAAATTTGTTATCGTTATAATTATTTAGTTGCAATACAATATTTATAGGTAATTCATAATTTTTTCGATATCAATATAGAATTTAAACAAAAATTTAATAAATTCATCCAAATCCATAAATAATTTATCTATTATAACTGATGGAACATCTCCACAAATTGGCCTGTACTTATATTTCCCCTATTTCTCTCAAAATATTATAAGTTAATAACATAGTTACAATTAAGTAATTGAATATACTGAATGAACCCATTTGTTATTCCCTATAAATTGGTTGATATTAAAGATTATAAGAATTTAAGTTATATACGTTGTCAACGAAATTATACTATTACTTATGTAAGAGATATTTATAAATAAAAAAATATGAATTTATATATTTAAAATATTACTTATTACAATATTTGCATTGTTAATTTCTATAACAATTTTATATTATATTATCATACGGTGAAATAATATCGACTGAAGGTAAGTAAATTCTTTAGTTTTAATAAAAAAATTAACTAAGAAGGTAAGAAAGAATTACAACATAATGCGTTCATGTAAGATTTTTGTGAGAATAAATTTCTTGATCTCTAGGCTTGAAGGTGCTCGATAGGGCATGCGTTTTGGTATCATAAGGGTTTCTCATAGAAACATCTAACTATATTGTGAATTCTTGCGTACCTAATTTCAAAATTCAACGATCCCTAAAAGTGTTCTATCATTTATGTAATTAAATTCTTAAAACTCACATTTTTCCTTCAAAATTGATTAGTCATTAATTCTTGTCTTTTAAATGAACCACTATTTACTTTTTACTTTTTATTCATTGAACTTATGTTTAATGGAGCCTAAATTCTTGAAAAATTGAAATTATGTCTAAACAAAATATGTGAGATATTATATTATGTAAATATAAACTTTAGCCTCGTAAAAAAGTTTTATTTTATTTATTATAAGTGGTAAAAATTAAGTTTTGGACCTAGTATATCTTTACAAACTTAACCACAAACTATTGGGCCTGACTTGTGTGTTAGCTAGCCCAATTTCCAAGAAGCTTTTTGTACCACCCCCACCCCCAATAATCCAATTGATAAGTGTGCCAAAAACTTGTGGAGAAAATTGCCACACTTGTATTTAGTTACCTTCATATATTTATGTTTTATTTAGACTACAAATTTTTAAAATCATATTTCCTTGAATTTTGAATCAAATCAAATCAAACTAATTGATATAAAAGAATAAATTTTAAAAATTATATTTCTTTAAAGTTCGAATCAAATCAACGTAACTCGTATAAATTAATACAAAAGGAGAAAATAATTGGTCCAAACTTGGCTAATTGGTAGCCCAATTAATATACAACCATCCAAAATATGTCATGCATTTTAAACCACACAAAGAAATCCATATAGATAAAATACCAATCCACCCCATGTAAAATTGATTGAAGAAAAATAAAACATAACAATCTTTTTATTCCCCATTTTGTTCAAACAATGAATATGCTCAAAACTTGTGGAGAAAATTACCATCAATTAGTACCATCATTTATAAGTTCCAAATATCAAAATGCAAATGCTAATTATGTTGTAGAACCATTAAAATTTGCTTATAGAAAAAAGCAAATGCAAAGCTTAGTAGTGAAAGCAAATAATGGTGAAAGGCGTACCTTTTTGACACTAGAAGAAGCTGGCCTTGTTGAAGTGTCCGGCCTCAGCACTCATGAACGTTTTCTATGTCGATTGACGGTACGTCACAGATTTAAGTTATATACATCGATAGTACAATTTAATTTTTTGAAAATATGGCATGTTGATTTAATCAACAACGCAATTAGGATATTCATTAATCAGAGTTCAAATAAAATAAACACACAAAAAATCAAAAAAAATTGTTATGATTTATTATATGTATATGAAAATAGTTTTAACCATATTCCCTCGACCCAACTTGGCTCCCCCACAAGCCCCCCACTAGGCTTTTGAGCAATGATATAATTGTTTTTGTGTGACATTTAAAGTTAGGGAAAATTACATAAATTAATACATTTTAAAAAGTAATTATCGATTTTAGTAATATTTTTTAATTATTATTATTTATAGTAATATTTTTAATTATTATTATTTATAGTAATATTGTGTTATATCTGTAATATATATTAGAAGTGAATTATATATGCAATATATATGAATTATAATTATTTTTTAAAATATATCATATTTGTTTGGTAAAAAATTATCACATTTTATTATAAGTGTATTAAAATATGTGATAAATATATTATTCATCATTAAAATTTGTCTTATATGTGAATAATAAATTGTTCTTTGTAATATATATTAAAATTGTATTACAATTGAATTAAAAATGATCAAGTGAAAAAAATTATTGCTATAAATAGTAAATATTTTTTTATTATAGTGTTTTTATGTAGTGTAACACTGTAATTTGGAGGGGGCAAAAAAAAAAAATTAAAACGTTTGTAATTTTTTTTCCGCTCAATATTTGATATCTTTTTGAAATATTGATTAACGTAAATTTATATTATTTAAGACCAATTTAAAAGGAAAGTGCTCTATATAAAAAAAGAATTATTTTCACCACTCGAATCTAATGAAATCTTATCCGTGTCACCAGGTGAGAATAGTTGAATCAAATTATTAATATTAAAAAGAAAATTTGTGAACAAATGGAAGAAAAAAAAACATACAATGAGATATGTATTTGTTAAAATTACTATAAGTAGAGTGTCATACAACTATTTTTTTTGCAGATTTCATCTCTCAATTTATTAAAAGTGATAGGAGAACAAGAAGGTTGTTCAATTGAAGAGTTAAATGCTGGGAAAATATGTGATTGGTTCTTGAAAGATAAGCTTAAAAGAGAACAAAATTTGGATTCTGCTGTACTTCAATGGGATGAATCTGATTTCCAACTATAATTCTCCCTCTATTGAAAGTAATTATTTAAAAATATAAAAATGAACAAAACACTAATTCTTTTCCCTTAATAATACTCCTTGCTTCCTTTTTTATGTAGTAACGCTTATTTATTTTCAATGTCTGAATCTTATATGCTATGTTTGAATTAAGTTGTGGACAATTTGTTATTCTCTTTAAACTCTAATTTTTTCAAGTGAAAACGAGCATTTAATATACGAGATACAGATAAAGAATTGATTTTGAAAATATTCGAAATTTGATTCGATAATTTATTAATTAAAGAGAAAAATAATAGGTTAATTGATTGATAGTTGAAAGAGATGAGGACTAATGCAATTGCTTTGGAATTGATAAATTAAACAAGCGTGAGTATGTGCAAGAGTAATAAAAACGTGTATCATATATAAAATCTGAATGATATTAAAAATCTTTCACTGATCTGATTTAGTCAGATATATTCAAATGTATTAAGATAATTTATTTTTTTTAAAAAAACAAATCCACTTGATTAATTTTAAATTGAAATCATTGAGACCCTTAAGCTTAGATACAGAAGTTTTTATCTCCTTGGTGCATGAAATTTTTTGAGTGCTCCAACGCATTAAATTTATGAGCTAATATACATAAAAAAATTATATAATTTTTAAAAGTTAACTCGTAAATATATTTTTAAAATGGTGAGATTATGCGCAATGCTTTCCTAACTCATCAAGGAGGTCCTCTTTTGGATGTTCTAAAGCCTCGATCCATGAGCTAATACTTTTTTTGTTTTTCATGTGTATTAGTCACACCTTGAAGCACTCAACAAGATAATCTAATTTTTTTTATGAAGATCTTCGTAATGAATTGGGGAAACATTACCTATAGTCCCACTATTTTAAAATCATATTTACGTATTTACGAGCTAATTTTTAAAAACTGCTCGACTTTTTTTTCTTCCCATATGTATTAGCCCATGAATCTAAATTCTACGCCTTCGAGTGAGCACGTAAAAAATTTTCTTAAAAACCTTTATGACAGCCTATAAAATAAGTTTGAGAAATATTACATATAGTCCACCGTTATTTTAAAATCTCTTGATGAAAAATCTCTTAATAAAAAATTTAATTTTGTTATGAATATTAAAAAAGTGAAAATTTAATAGCTTAATGGAGGGGAGGAACGTGAAATTTTTACAAGCTAAGGATGGGAAAAAAGTATGGAACCTTTATATCCGTGTATTTCTGTCAACTCAAATAATTAGTACAAAATAAAAAATAGAAATACATAATTAAACACTTTTTTTAAAAAAGTTTTTTAATTCTGTGTTAAAGATATCCCATTCATCTACTCTTTAATGATTTGTTTATTTGATTTTAAAGGATTAACCATCCTATTAAAAGTTATAGTTCTATTGATGTTAGAACATATGTCAAGCGAAGTAAATTTTGAATGATTTTATTTGTGTTAACAACTTTACTTTTGTTATCAAGGTACAAAACATTAAAGAAACTTCTTTTGATGATGACTTTAATTAAAAAAAGAAGAAGAAGTTCAATTTCTATCTAAATCTCACTTTTTTATCACATTGTAAAGAAGAGTCAAGACAGAAGCAATCGACAATTATAATTACATTTCAATGCTAAGTAAGTTGAAGCTGATTATATGAGTCCGCATTGACTATTTGCCATAGTTAAAGCTCAATTTATATATCTGTCATATTTTACCAAGTAATCAAATACATGTGTATTACTGACTTTCTATAGAGTACATGTTAGGTGACCAAGATATGGAAGGACACAGAATCAATCTGGTTCTTCATTAATGTCATGTGTCTATGCATATATATATATAATATTTAAAATAAGTGTCATGTGCTCATATGTATATTTAATGTAAAACACATGAGCACATGGTTAGCAATTTATTCTTTAATTTTGTCCAAATAATGAAAAGAAGTTGAAGAAAAAAAGACATTGAAAATTTTGTTCTTGTCTTTTTCTTTTACTTATAGCTTCATCCAAATGTTTAATTTTAAAAATACATTCATCAATCTTCTTTTCGGAAAGGTGATAAGATAGGAAGGTCGTGAGAATTAGGATAGTAACTAATAGTATTTTCTCAATTTCCGTTCGTTCATTCTAATAAGTACATTGTATTAGAATTGAGAAACTTTATGGCTCGGATCCATAAGCGTCAAAAGCTTTTAGTACGGTAGGGTGAGCAACGTCTCTTAAACCAAAATAGCTCATATAGTTTCTTGTCATTTAATTTTTGTTACTATTTGTAGTAGTTATCTGTACAAATTGTCTTGTTATGCTTTTACGATTTCATTACCCTTTTTTTGAATTGCTTTGGACTATTTTTCCTTGAGTTAGTGATCTATCGGGAACAAACAAAATCTCCATTGATAATGTTATTTCTTACCAGATCACATTGCAAGCAAGTTTGAGCTAAAGTTGAATACATATTTATTCATTTAACTAAACAAAATGGTAATACAAGAGACTAGACTCCTATATACAACTAAAGTTCTTATGAGATCAAAAACAAAATCCCTAAATAACCTCTCTACAAGTACAAAACAAATACAAACAGGCCACCCCATCTTCAATGAAAGTGTTGAAGAACAATGTGGCTTGTAAAGACTGTTGTGACATCTACACTGACATCTGATAAGACCTGTGATTTCTACAACAAAACCTATACAGAATCCAGACCGAGACGGGCTTAAATGGAGCAACCAAACAATGAGGATCCATATGGCACTGACCCCAACTCGCTTGAGATTGAAGCATAGTTGTTGATGTTGTAGTACCAATAAAGAATCTGATATGAGATCTATAGCTCGGTGTCCATTTGCATAAATAACTCTCTCCGCGGCCAATTTTCTTCACTATCTGATGTAAACAAGGCTACAGATATGTCAGCTAGTTTCTTCTGACTTAAACGAGTCCTCGGAAACTTTGCTTGCCTAGGAGCATTAGGCAATTCAACATCATTAGACTCATTCCAATCATCCATATCAGTAGCATTCTTAAAACCAAGTGTCTTTTTTGGTGTACTATATTCAAAATGCCATCTTTTTGCAACCAAAGTCTGTTCATTCACCAAATAAACCATAGAGTTCATCAATACTTACATCCTATCAAAAACTAATTTTTTTCCCAACTATAGTGTAATACCATATTCAATAATAATTAACTAATGCTTACCGCTTCTCTAATTGGTTTTGATACATGAAACAACCTCTTAAGATCCTCATGTTCAACTCCACACACTATCCTTATCTGCATAATGATAAAACAACACATCTTTTTCAGTAAGCCAGTCCACTAAATAGTAAATGAATTGGGAATCCATGAATTTAAGTACAGCAAAGGATATGATGTCGACATTCTATTCTAATGTAAGCATTTGTGATTGTTTCCGCGACTCGAACCATTGCTTAAAAGATAAAAAAATGATTTTTGTACTAACCAGGATATCTTGAGGCAGAGCTTCAAGAGGGGACTTCACACAAGTGGAAAATGAATTATTTCTGCATATTTTCTTTGTAGGTGTTGTTGAAATGAAATCAAGATCCCTAATATTAGGCAAACAAACTCTTTTCCTCCCAAATGAGGTACTTCTCACAAGCCCAAATCCAACATTTTCACATATCTTCTTTCCCATTGCCATTTCTCTTCAACTTTTTCACAGAAAACACAACTGCAAAGATCTGATTTTTACACCAAAAACAGAGAACAAAACAAATCAGTATCATCCAAAATCAAACCCTAGAAAAACTAACCTCAACTAAGCAAATGGAAATAAAAACAATAAAATCAAGAAAATTTTCACTTTTCATGTCATCCCCATCACCATTTTAAAAACTTTTTCACTGTCAAGATTAGATTTTTCCACCAAATTAGACAATTCAAAAAACCCCAAATGAACAAACCATCAAAAAAACCAAAAAACCAACTTCCCAAATGGACTAAACAGCAAAACAATGAAACCCCAACAATTATTTTTCAACAAAGATTCAATCTTTGAAATAAATATTGTCAATTGAGTCAAATGGTAAGCAGAAAAGTATTGGATACATACCTTTACACTAATAATCTGAAGATAAACACTATACCAAGACTGATCCAACAAAGCTATATCCTTTTTGTACAAACAATTGTTTGAAGAAATGAGTCAAATTTGTTTGTATGTATGTTTTCTTTAGAATAAAAGACAGTTTTGTCTAGTGTTTTTGTTTAATTTTCAACTAGGCTAAAAGATAAGTATGTAATTTTAGATGACAAAATGGATTTTATTTATCTATATGAAAAAAATAGCCGTTGGAGATTTACACGTGGCGAAAAAAGAGATGGGTAAAGTGGAAACAACATGGGTGGTTCAGGTGATTGGTCGGTCCAAGTCTACTTGTCGGTTGGCTTTTACCTAAAACGCGTTCTGTACTCTGTTCATAGACATGTTCAACAATTCAATATAATATATATATTTTACGCGGATAAGGATGGATGGTTAGTTAATATAATCGAAAGTTATTTAGTTTATTCTTATATATATTAATGGTTGTAATGTGTTCTTTTTGTTATTCTATTTCTATGTTTATATGTGATGTTTCTTGCACGATGATTATTATCGTAGTATTTTGTTATAATAAGTAGATTGTTATAAGTATAATTTGTCTTACTCTCTTTAGCGTTTTGTCCTGATTCTTCCACTTTCGTTATTTTTCTTTTTATAAATTTTTTAGTCGAGTGTATTTGTTATTAGAAATAACTATTTTACTTTATATAGTAGGAAGGTAAAGTCTACATATATAAATTTATCCATCTTATAATATTACTATTTTTCGTTGAAATTTCTCACGAAATAATATTTAGTAATTATTTTTAAAGATATTTTAAACGAAACAATATAAAAAAAGATAGTATTCTTACAATACGGAAGATAAGTGGAAAAATTATTTTATAACACTTTTTTCTTATTAATTGTGGATAAAACACAATGTTTTTAATAGTGACATTATTCTTTTCGGACTTCACTGTGATATTACGTGGATTATATTGTTATTGCATTGGTAGATTTATTTATCTTACACGAAGTTTAAGATAAAATGGATGGTCGAGATTATGCCACGTAAGCAAGTGTAGTAATGGACGGTCATGATCTTTTGAATAT